TCTTTGTAATATCCAGAGGGAGAAAATCAGATGGAGCTATGAGGCTGGAAGATCTCATGTAACTGAGGGCTTAGATAATCACCTATGGAGTCCATATGTAGGCGTGTGCATGTGGGAGTGTTGCTCTTGTACATCATTTGTATATGTTCTTTGAAGAAATGTCTCTTTGTATACCTCGCCCATTTAAGAAATTGGATTATTTGTCTTTTTATTGCTGAGTTGTTGTTCTTTATATATTCCAGATGTAAGACCTTTTTCCAATACATGACCTGCACATTTTTTTCCCATTCTGTGGGCTTTTTCTTGGTGGTATCCATTGAAGCACAAAAGTTTTTAATTTTGATGAAGTCCAGAATGTGTTTTTTCTTTTTTTTTGAATGTAATTTTGATATCATATATAAGAAACCATTTTTTAATACAAATTAATGTTAAGATTTCTACCTGTGTTTTCTTCTAAGAGTTTTAGTTTTAACTCTTACATTTAGGTCTTTAATCAATTCTGAGTTAATTTTTGTATATTATGTGAGGTAGGTTCCCAATTTCATTCTTTTGGGGATAGCGAGTTTTCCTAGCACCAATTGCTGAAAAGACTATTCTTTACTGATTGAATTGCGTTGGCATCTGTGATATCTTTTTTTGTGATGCCACTTCTGAGTGTCCGGAAATTCAGTGCAGTTTTGATACTAACTCCCAGAGTTAGTGCAGACCCCACTAATTAAGGACTCAGTCCCACAAAACTGTTCCCACTTCAGAAGCCAGTTTCAACTTCCAGGGATCACCTGTACTTCTGACTGACAGGCTACAGACTTCGAGGTTCCTACAACCCCCTCCTCAGGTTTGATAATTCACTAGAATGACTCACAGAACTCAGCAAAACCCTACTTACTTTTAGCTGTTTATTATATAGAATACAACTCAGGAACAGCCAAATGGAAGAGATGCACGGGACAAGATATGGGAGGGAAGCTTCCATGGTGCTGAGCTTCCATGCCCCCTCTGGTGGACAATCTTCCTAGCACATCAATGCGCTCACCAACCCAAAGGCTCTTTGAACCCTGTTGTTTAAGAGTTTTTTATGGAAGTTTCATTACATTTGCACAATTGATTAAATTATTGACCATTGGTGATTGAACTTCTGGTGACCAGCCTCTATTCTGAAGCTGTCTAGCCCCACTGCTCCCCTCTCCATTGAGTGGTATCATTAGCATACAAAAGAACATAAATTCCAAAAGGTTTTAGGAGCTCTGTGCCAGGAACTGGGGACAAAGTCCAAATATTTATTTATTTTTATTATACCACAAAATCCTTGTCAAAAATCAATTCACCATATATGTATGGATTTATTTCTGAACTTTCAATTTTATTCCATTGATCTACATGTTAATCGTTATGCCAGTACCACAGTGTCTTGATTACTACAGTTTTGTAGTAAATTCTGAAACTGGGAAGTGTGAATCCTCCAACTTTGTCCTTTTTCAGTATTGTTTTGGCTATTCTGGGCCTCTTATATTTTCATGTAAAATTTAGGACCAGTTTGTCAATTTCTGCAAAAAAACAAGCTAGGATTTTGGTAGGGATTGCATTAAATCTATAGATCAACTTGGGGAGTATTACCATCTTAACAATATTGAGTCTTCTGATTTATGAACATGGGATGTCTTTCCATTTATTTAGGACTTCTAAAATTTCTTTCAACAGTGATTTCTAGTTTTCAGGGTATGAGTTTTGCACTTTTTCTTTTTGCTTAATTTATTCCTGAGTATTTTATTCTTTTTGATTCTGTAATCAATCACTACATTATTGATTTAGTCAGCAAATATTTGCAGATCATTGATTGTAAGCCGTGCTCTTTATCTGTGAGTAAGCAGACAGCATCCCTGGCCTCATATTTATACCTCAATGAAACACCTGTTACTAAGGAAATTAGAAAGTTGCTTTTTTTGGAATACCAGTTACTTATCACCTGGAAATTGTATCTACTTGTGTGGGGCTGTTGTCGGACTCCTGCTGTCATTTCTGTGGGTAATTCTCCCAGGTTGCAGACATTGCGAGGTAAATGGGGAAGGTAACAGGTCGGGGCAGGCAAAGTGCTTCACTCTCTTTGAGCAGTTTGGCCTGACCCAGAAAGGCCTTCTTAGTATTTAAAAGTTGAGATTGTTAAGATATTTCTCATGTAACATGATGGAATGCTCACATTGCTGCCCCTCCCAGCTAATATCAGAGTCCATTCCATGGTTCTGAAGGCCAGTGGTTTCCATATCTGGCTGAGCACCAGAATCGTCTGAGGGCTTGTTAAAGGGCAGAATCTCTACTTTGTGGTTAGTTACATGTGTTTCATCCTCCTTTGCAGCTTATCTATGAAATTCCTATTATTTGTCAGTAGAATCTGTGAAGGATGTGTTGAACTGGAGAACCCACAGGCAGAGTCCCAGACACCCCTCCTATAGACTCTGATTCAGGAGTCTGGAGAGGGGCCCAGGGGTCAGCATTTCAGTGTCACCTGTTTTTCTGTTACAACCAGTCCAGAGAGTAGGTCATTGCAAACTCTACCTATATGCCAGCACTCATTTACCTTACAGATTACCCTCAGTCAAAGCTGTTTTACTTTTATCCCACGTCTAACAAGTTATCCTGGTTCTAGGTGACTAACACAATGTACGCCAAAATGTTTAATGAGTTATGCTGAATTGAATCTAGCTTTCCTGGCTTAGAACAGACTATACACAGCAAACTTAAAGAGAGGGGAGTGCTGTAAGGTGTAATACCTGGCAGTTTAACAGGAATCATAAAAAGGCAGATACCAACACTCAGAAAGCATAGCAGCTGGGCCACGTGGAAGACGCGGGTTCTGCAGATTAATGCTGGACATAGAAAAAGAGCCTAACTCTCCTCTCGTCATCAAGTTCCCTTTCACTTCCACTTCACACATTACTGCCTTCTGAAAATCTCATCAGTTGGGCAGCCACCCTCTGTTGTTGGTTATATAAGAGCCCAGAAGCCGCCATGTCTCGCTTGCCTACTAAGTGCCCTTAAATGCCAAGTCAGCTCTCCACCAGCACCCTAAAGAAAGCGTGCACATGAGGAGACTAAAGCTCAGGGTGAGTCACCACTCGCTCAAGGTCACACAGCGAGTAGTGGCAAAACAAAAATCATACCCAGGTCTCTCTTACTCTTTGCTTTTATACTTTCCACCACTAAACCAAGGGCTCTCAATAGATGTTTCACAGCACTCAGTTGAATGGGATTTTACAGATAACTTGTTGATGATGGTTAGAAAGCTGAAGTGTGCCTTGTGAAAAGGGCAAGAACGTGCTGGTGTAGCAGTGAGCCACAAGAAACCGAAGCACAACCCTGGCTATGCCCAAGGAGTCTGCCAAGGATGTGGATTCTCTCTGTTATGTGTGTCTTGGCTGGAAAAAGATTGAGAATTATTGAAGAGAAAATAAAGTCCAATAACAGGGAGTGTACCCGGGAGTCAGATGACTGACTCTGTATCCTGAATCTGCACTTTATGGCTGTGTAACCTTTTTTAACCCCTGTGTGCAGGTTGGTTTTCTCATTGCTGCAACAGAGTTGCTAAAGTGTAAATCAGCTGGTACATGTTAGGCGGAAACAATGTCTAGTAAATGGTAAGCCCTCAAATTCAGTGGAACTTTATATAGTTTCAAGTCTTGTAAACAGGATCTCTAGCTCTCAAAAATGGCAACTGTTGGATATCATACATGGGGACTGGTTAAATGGGTAAACATTTTAAGCATATAGCTCATATATATATATATTTTTTTTTTGGTTTCTTGAAACTTAATGAGATAGTTTTTGGGTAATTTAGATGAGCCATGTATCTTTTTAAAACTATCCAGAGACGTATAAATTGCTGCCTTTTTACTCTGCTTGAGCAATATCCTTATAACAAATATAGACATTCGTTTTTATAAAAGGGCAAAACTGGTATCTTGTTGTGGGAAAAGTTAGTTAACATTTTCAGTCTTTGCTAAAGTCCTCCTATGCTCTTAGAAGAGCATGTGATTCTGGCTAAGTAACTGTTTTCTGGGATACTGGAATTTCTTGCATTTTGAGGTCCACTTGTGTGGCTCCTTTTCTTGGTCATCTCCCCATGATTCTCTGCTCATCCATTTCCTCAGAAGCTTCTCTTGACTTAACCTGCAGATGAACTCACAGTGGAGTCTTTCATCAGACAAGAGTGAGAGGATAGAACTGCTCGTGGGCAATGTCAAGCTGTGATCCCCCCATCTGACGTTAAAGTCTTCGCCAGTCATGCTCTTGGTTTTATAGCATCTTCATGTGGAAATAGAAAACAAGCCCACTCTTCCCATCAAGTCTGTAGGTGATGCTGCTTTGTCCGAATGCTTCTAGGATGACGGCCCAAGATCCCTGCACAGAGGCCATCACTAAGGGGACCTGAAATAAACAGAGACTAAGAGATGGGCATACCGCTCTACAGTGTACATATTTCTCCTGCAAGGTTCCTATTAGTCAGGATAATCATAGCTCAAGAGGGCTGATGAGGTACCAACCACATCTGCCTGTTTGCTTCCTTTCCTCCAATTTCCTAAAGTAAGCATCCTTACTGGCTAAGACTCAGGCTATTTTGCTCTTGAAACTGGAAACTAACTATCAAGTCAGGCACATTTAGACACCTAATTTTTTTTTTGAGGAAAAAAATGATAGTATAAAGATTATATTGACTATGTGTTCTGAATAGCACAGAACACTCCAACTCTGAGGCCTTATAAAGTATTTGGACACGTTTCATTATTGGAAAACAACATGTGTTAGTAACAGGGTATTTATTTCTGTATTTGAAAGATATGGCATAATCCATGCTGGTGGGGTAGGGAAATATCTCAGTGACTGGATCCTGCACGGAGAACCTCCTTTTGATCTGATAGAACTGGATCCCAATCGTTATGGCAAATGGACAACAACTCAGTACACCGAGGCCAAAGCAAGAGAGTCATATGGATTCAACAATATTGGTAAAGTGCAAATTTACTATTGTTAAATTTCAAAATTGACTTACAGCGTCTCTGACTCAAGATGCTTTTTATTCTGAGCATTGTGGAGGGGTGGTTAGGGATTCTAAAAAGCATGTGCCACTAAGACACAACAAGAAATCTATGTGAATGTTTGTATCTAATAAGAGGAATGCATCAGTGATTTTAACTTTTAAATCTATTTTTACTTCACCCTTTGATGATCAATATAAATGACAGTTTTGTTTTTTGTTTTTTGTTTTTTTTAGTTTTTCTTTTGAAGTATGGTTGATTTACAATGTGTTAGTTTCTGGTGTACAGCATAGTGATTCAGTTATACATACATATATTCTTTTTCACTATAGGTTATTAAAAGATATTGCATATAGTTCCCTGTGCTATGCATTAGGACCTTGTTGTTTATCTGTTTTCTCTCTAGTAGTTAGTGTGTACAAATACCAAATTCCCAATTTATCCCTACCCCAGCTTTGCTCACTGGTAACCATAAGTTTGTTTTCTATGTCTGTGAGCGTTTCTGTTCTGTAAATAAGTTCTTTTGTGTCATATTTTAGGTTCCACATATACATACTATCATATGGTATTTGTCTTTGACTTACTTCATTTAGTATGATAATACAACTTTTGTTTTTTTAATGTCCATATATATGTGTATGTATATATGTATATATGCATACATGCACATATATATGCTTCTGGACTTTAAGTACTGTGTTTTCCATTTTCTGAATCCCTTCAAAGTATTTTAGTTTGGGTTATACACTATTTAGAGGATCGGTTTTCCTTTTCAGTTGGTTACCCTAAAGAAGAACGGTTTGCCGGGAGACCAACTCAGCGAGTCAGTGGGCTTTATAAAACCCTGGAGTCTAAGTGTTCCATGGGCTTCCATGCAGGCTGGGAGCAGCCACACTGGTTCTATAAACCAGGCCAGGACACTGGGTACAGGTAAGTAAGTGACTTAACCTGCCTGTGGCCTGACAGCCAAATGAAATTTGGGGGTAGAATGGAAGGACACCAGAGAAGTGTCATGTCCCCCTCCCATCCCATCACTCCACCCTATTCCAAAGACCACTGAGCCTTTTCCCACAAAAATTCTTTTCTGGTAGTGGAGGCATTAGTTTATCCCACATGACACTGGCCCGCATCCAGGACCCATGTGGCCTCAAGAGTCCTACAGCCAGCCCAGGTGAAGCCTCTGCTTGGCATTTTCCAGTTGCTCAGAGGAACCTTCCCCACCCTCTCCAAATCCCCACATGGCTTCAGGTGGCTCCTGAAGGTTTGTCCTGGTTTAGGATGCCTGGTCGAATCACATGGTATGGAAGCAGTGTGGAAATATGGATTTTCTATTTGTCAAGGGATATCTGAAAGCAACTGCTTTCTAGTGTATGTGCACTGAATCATGCAAATTATATGCACTGCTGATAAATTACAGGAAAATTAGCATAAAACATAAAACATGTCACTAAAACAATTCTTTGAATTCCCCTAAAATTGTTACCATTGTTGTACTCGGATTACATGTCATTGTTGTACTTGGGATTAATAGTGATCATATATTTTTTCTCATGAGAATCCACAAACCTAGGGAAAACAAATAGCAAACCTAGAAATTATGTTACCTTTTTAGAAACGTGTCATTTTGTTTAAACAGGTTTTGCTGCCTACTTTCAGACCAGATCTGAATGGTCCAAAGTGTGGTAGAGGCCCAGTTGTTGATTAATGAATGTGGACTCTGTAGGCAGCCAGTGGAGATTACCTGGGGGCAAAATGCTAGTTTGGTTTTTCCTAAATGACCCAGATAAATGCGAGGTCTGTTCTTCAGCTTGTGCTGTTTGGACCTACCCTGTTTCTTTTACTATTTTAATAATTAAACCACTGAAAACTCATTTTGCAGACTTAGCATCCTGCTCTGAAGTTAAAATACCACATTAAAAGTCCGCCCTGTGGAGTAGAAAGGACCCTGCATGATGAGTCAGGAAACCTTTGTTCCAGGCCCAACTCCGTCATTAACTAATAGAAAGGTCTTAGAAGTCACTTTGTGCCTTTTCTCCAAAAAGTGAAGATGTTGGACCAGATCTTTGCTTAGTCCAGGTGTGGACCAACAGCATGACCATGTAACCTGGGAGTCTGTTAGGGTGCAGAACCTAGGGCCCCACCCTAGACCTGCTGCATCAGAATCTGCACCTTAACAAGTGTGAGTGATGTTGTATTTGCATAAATGTTTGAGAAGCACCAGACAAGGTAGCTCTACCTCCCCTGCCCCCATATTCTGATTCAATTAGGACCCCCAAATTAGTATTTTTAAAATGCTCCCCTAGGTGATTATAATATGTGTAACAGGACTGGTTGACTTCTAGGCTCTTTTCCAGATCTGAGAGCCCATGTGTCCTATCTTACTGTCTAATTAAGTACTACTTCATTCACTATGAAGTGAGTCAGCGAATCGGTAATAACTTAAAAAAATCAGATTCCAATATATGTGTGATTTGCAGAACAGGTTGCATTTTTCCCCCAAATGAGATTTTCTAGATGTATAGGCCTTATTAAAATATCCTGATTCTGTAATTTTCTGAAAATGAATGACTGTTGTTTTATGACAAACATTGTATTTTAGGCCAAGTTTTCGTCGCACAAACTGGTTTGAGCCTGTAGGCTCTGAGTATAAACAGGTTATGCAAAGAGTAGGGGTGATTGACCTGTCACCGTTTGGCAAGTTTAACATCAAAGGCCAAGACTCCATCAAATTGTTGGACCATCTCTTTGCAAATGTCATTCCCAAGGTAAATAACCTTATAGGGGTACAAGGTCCAGGATTCTGGCCTGCCTAATTCTCTATCCCCTCATTTTCAAAAAAATCAATGTGTTATTTCAGTCCATGTAATGATTTCTGTATGAACATCAGAACTCTTCAACTGACCAGGGGTATTCTAGCTAATTTTCAAATTTAAATTTTTGTTGAATGAATTATCATCTATGGACCTCATGACTTTGCTTAATTGTATCCATAGGAACTGCAAAATTGGCTGAAGTGTAATTACTATGACAAGTAATTATCATGATCATTGAAACTGAAAATTTCTAAATTAATCTTGGGTTTAGGTTTATAGATAGTTCACATAATTGAAAGACAGAAGATTCAGCTGTTTCTCATTGTTAACACCCACATTTTTATTTTCATGTGGTGTTAAAAGGATACGTAAGATATCTATTTCATCCTGAGATAATTTAAAATTCTTTTGTGTAGGTGGGTTTTACAAATATAAGTCACATGTTAACACCGAAAGGCCGGGTGTACGCTGAGCTGACTGTTTCTCACCAATCTCCTGGGGAGTTTCTACTAATAACTGGTTCTGGATCAGAACTTCATGATCTTAGGTAAGTGTACGACTGGTTAGAAAATGTTCTATGAATTATATATTGACTCAATCTTGCGCTAAGATTTTCTTTTACCGGTAATTGAAAGTACAACTTTAATTCTTAAACCTCTTTTTTTTAAATACATTTAATATCTTTTATAGGAGATTATTTGAAGTGAGGGCCCCTGTCCTATTTCCCTCCAATGGATAGTCCATCCGTAGGGTTTATTGGTTCTAAATAATATTAACTCCCATTTAGTAGCATCACCAATATGTCAGAACTCTTTCTACATATTATCTCAGTTAAGTCCCTTAACGGGCAAGGTATATGTTTGTCCTATTTTCAGATGAAGAAACTGAAGTTTGGGTTAAAGTAACTTGCTCAAGCCAGTCTTTTTGATTCTGATGCCCACATTCAGTCCCCATCAGTGAACTGTACTCCCCTGCCAGGTTACCTCCTTCCTTTTTCATGCTTCGTGCTCTGTAGTCCACAGCTGCGTCTAAATGTTTGACCTGCCAAATCGATCCTTCACATGAATCTTTAGTCTACTCTCAAATGTGTAGTCTTTAGTATTCCAAGAACATTTGGAATACTGTTTTATGAACATCTTACTCTGACAGATTCTCATACCAGTTGTAAAATGATGCAAATTATATCATCCAACCCAAGATGTGTTGGGAACCATCTTTGTAGCTTAGCTTTGTGTAAATCCAGATGATCATTTTATGATAGTCTTGTGTAGTTCCAGGGTCTGCTCAATAAATTATAAACAGACCCTACAACTGGGTTCCCATAACTCACCAAGGCTTAGAAATTGAAACTAGTCTTTAGAGTTTTTGTCTTTCCTTTGTGATTGTCAGAGCAAGTGTGTGTCTGGTGGCAGGCACATTGTTAACCTTTAGCAGCACAAGTGTGCCTCCTGTGTACAGGTATTAGAGAAAATCTGGGTTTAAATCCCATTTGCAAGATTGAATCATTAGTTTAAATGCAATAGGGCTGTCACTATTTAAAAGAACTGGATGGCAGAGCTCTTTAAATTGAAGGCTCCTTCTATACTGTGAAAAATTACCCACAAATTTACAAGAGAGTGGTTTAAAGAGAATCATTTAACATCTCTGGGACTCAGTTTCCTCAACTTTAAAAATTAGGTGATTATATGAAATGACACTCTAGGGACCTTCTGGTAATTCTAGACGCAGAGCTTATCTTCAGAGAAATAATCTGTAACCAACAGGCATTATTCAAGCAAGATTTAACACAATGTTTATGAATCTCAAATGCAGATGGATTGAAGAAGAGGCAGTCAGAGGTAGATATGATGTTGAAATTAAAAACGTAACTGATGAGTTTGGCGTCCTTGGAGTCGCGGGGCCACATGCAAGAAAGGTCCTTCAGAAACTTACCTCTGAAGATCTTAGTGATGATGCTTTCAAGTTTCTTCAAACCAAGTCTTTAAAGTTTTCCAACATTCCTGTCACTGCTATAAGGATATCTTACACTGGTAAGAATTGGAAAACAACCTACAGTAAGTCTCTAAAATTTAAAAGAAACTACTACAAATGCGTGCTCACACACACACACACACACACACACACACTTTCATCAGTGTTAACTTTGGAGGAAGATTTCCCATGCCCAACTCTGATGGCAATCCTGTTTATTCACTTCTAGTCTGAGGGAGTCGTTCCACAGATTTCTGGTTGTTGTTCCAGTCCCATAGCTAGCTGCCTACATTTAGAAAGGTAGCCAGGAAAGTGGGAAGAGGATGGCTGTTGGGATAGTCGGAAGGGCTGACAGAATATGCAGGCCAGCTGATTCCATCTGGGAACATTCAAAATGGCCTCCCATAGAGTCTCCCATGGAGGATCATCTTGAATGTGTCAGGCACTGCACTT